AAATCTGTGCCCAGTATGTACTCCAGGCCAGAGGAGTCTATTGGACTAGCTTTAAGAAAGACTCGGGAGAACCTGGCATTTCCCCAGGACCTGCTGAGGGCCGGCTGGCAGGCCTCAGAGTCCACATTACATAACCATCACGCTGCCAGCTTCCAGAGTCTTACAACACCAAGTGAACTACGAAGGGTTCCAGGCTCAGACAGTCAGCTGATACTGAGCGTGCCTTCTGGTCCCCGGTGCCACTATTTACCAGCTAAGTGACTCTGCTTCTCTCTCAGATGAGTGGATTCAAGCATTATTTTGAAAGAAGAGTTTATCTTTCATCTTTTCCTTCCATTTCTCTGAGCATTCTAGGTGCAAAGAAAAACTCCAGCAAGGAGAAAATTCCACCCGACAACAGCTCTTTTGAGCTTTTCAGTAGTCCAGACCTTTGAGTGAGTAAGCTTTCTCCTCCACTCCCGGTGATAGACAGACCGAATGAAGTTTCTCCTCTGATCTGTGATTCTGACCCTTTTTCTCCACCAGCAAGCAGTGTGTGGTGATCCTGTACAGGGGATGGGGATAGAAAGGCATTTCCTGGGAGAAATCACTTGTGCTCTTGGAGGCTGACCCCTGAGTCCATGGATCTGAACTCTGGCCAAGCATCTAAATAAAATAGTTACACTCCTTCACCCTCAGACCGGCAGCCCCGGAACACTGCTCACACTTGGCCTAGAAAGCCATACTGAGGGTCTGCCATGAAGTCTAAAGGCTTGTCATCTGAGAAAACTTAAACTTTCCCCTTTTGAGACTTTGCTAATTAATAGTTCCACCAAAAACCCATCACTCCACATGGGCCCAGAGAAGCACCTTCTGTCTCAGCATCCTGGGAGCTCAAATGTGTCCAGAGAAAACACACTTGTTTCATTGGTATGATTTTGCAAAACAGAAATGCCTCTGGATCAGAGCAATATGGGACAAGGAGATGGGTTCTTTGTCCGTGGTGGTCAGGAGGAGTTTAACTTTTTTTTGAGGAGTTTAACTTAATCTTTTTTATATGTATACAATAAGGTTGTAAGTAGCACTCTTATCTTACACAGTGCCCCCCCCCCAATATACCCATTTAAGAATGAGTTGTACAGGCTAGCAGTGTAGCTCAGTGGTAGAGTGTTGGCCTAGCATCCCCGAGGCACTCTGTGTGAGCTCTAGCATTGCAAATAAATAGATAAATTTATGACAGTCTACCTCAGAGTATGCCATTTCTGGAATACTGAAGGAGAGGTGATAGAGGTTTCCTGATGCCCCTGTTCCTGCCCCTATGCACACTCTGACTACCTAGATGCTGATCAGTGAACTCTCTTCCTCACTGCGTGTTTGGGCTGAAAACATACACTTCCTATCTCCTCCCAGCCTCCTGTGCCGCATCTGCTTGTCCCTGGGTAGGATGGAGGAGATGTGAGCTGGTGATCCTGCTCAGTGGCAGAGCACTAGCCAATGTGTACATGGCCCTGGATTTGATCTCTAGCAATACAGGAAATTAGAAAGAGGGGGAAGAGAAAGGGAACGGGAGGGCAGAGGGGTAGAAGAAAGGAAAGACCCAGGTGAAATGGCCAATATCCACAAACCCCAGTACTAGGGGATGATGGCAAAGGATTCTAAGTTCAAGGCCAGCCTTGGCTACATAGTGAGTGTGAGGCCAGGATAAGAAGCATGGAATCCTGTTTCGAAGGGAAAAAAAAAAAAAAAGCACCCTTTTTGCTCATGATTACAGAGGCCCGGGAGATCTGAAAGCATGACATAAAACAGAACGTATGGCCAGCTAGACTTGGTACCATCTCAGACCAGCCCTGTCCTCATTAGGGCTGTGTGGGAGACACAAGCTCAGTGAAACTACCTGCAGAGCAGACCCAAGAGGAGGAAGAACAAAGTCTTCCTCACAGAGCATCACATGTTGCCCATCAACCTATCCTTTCTTCCCCCACAAGAGCGAATTCAGCTCATGAAGTAAACACCACCATCAATATATATTGAGTGTTCACCATATATATAGCCCAGAAGTAAGATAATATACTATATTCTAAAACACTGCCAAGACTCTGAGAACATTTTTGGCACATTTAAACAACAGTATGGCCATAAATTATGTAGAGGGAGAATTTTCTTAGTATATTTCACAAAAACTACACTAAAACCTGCTAGCAGCAGAATTCAGTGCTGCACACTCACACGGTAAGGCTTCAGTTTAATCAACGGCGACTTTTGATGTTTTACTTCACGCACCTCAGAAACATCACCAAAAGAATAGTTTTAATATTGCTTCCAAATTCAATCAGAGCAGTTGCATTTTTATGACAAGGGAACACTTGCAGGGCCATTCTTTATGGCACAAGTTATTAAACCCCACAGCCTTTAATCTACATTGCACGCTAAGTTAATGCATTTAAGCTGCCCTAGAGAAGTCATCCTTAGGCCGAGGTGCATCCACGGGAGATTTTGCTTCTGTTTTCTTTTTCAGCCTAAGAAGACATATTTTTTTTCCTCTCGACATCTTAAGAGTCATCTTTAATAATTGTCCCCTATCTCTCCGATGTCCCTCAACTCCTGACGCTGCCTCAGAAGTCATTTCTGCTCCCTCTGAAACACTCATCAGCTGCAGCCTCTGAGGGACTCCCGGGCACTCAAATCTAGCTCACTCACTGCCTGGAGGACACGAAGAGGCGAAACCCACAAACCCAGAGGGAATGGAAGCATCAGCATGTCCCAGCCTGCTCCATTCAAGTCCCACTGTGCTCGCAAGGACGGCTGCTCCTATTTTGTTCTATTTTGAGGGGTGGTGGTGCGCTAGGATACGGACATGTATATACCCCACACGCGATGAGGTACTGTGGCCAAAGGGGTTAGGTGGAGGACTTGTGGCTAACACAGCCTGGGTTCAAATCCTGCCTCTGACTCCCCCCATCAGAACTCATCTGGCCTGAGTTCTCTATCTCCCTTCTCCTAGGATAAGAATATTAGACATAACCATCTTTTTTGACACAATGTCCAAGAGTCAAAATAAAATTAATACCTATAGTCTCAAGGCTGAAGCTGTCTGTAGCTCTAGAATGCACAAAGCCATAGGTTTGATCCCCAGCACCACACACAACCATATGATAGTAGATGCCTATAGTTCTAGCAAGCAGATCAAGTTCAGGGTCATCCTCAGTTCCATAGAGATGTTGAGGTCATCCTGGACTACATGAGACCCTGTCTTCTCTTATTTCCCAAGACCTCCCCTGGCACACATACCATTCTTAGGGAATTTGGCCTCGTATTTTCACAGGTCCAGACTAATTGGTAAAGAGCGAGCCAACATCCTAAATTAGCTCCACAGCCTTAAGTATTCTTCAGAACAAGGTCAGATGTAAATTAACAAGGACAGCAGCCCCGAGAGAATTAGACCCACTTCTGTGGTGACTGAAGTAAGGATGAATGATTTGATGTCAAGACAGGATGGTCCCAATTTAGAACAACAAAACATTTCAACAGAGGCTCATGTTTTTAATGTGGAAAAAAAATGCCTATAAATGACCTCAAGCTTCACAGAAATCTAATTAGGCAAAGTTGAGCAGAAACCAACAGCTCTCCGAGATGAACGTTATGCTCATCTCATGGAAAGGAAAATGGAATGGAAAAAGATTAGTTAAGGGGTTGGTTGGGGAGATGGCTCGGCCAGTACAGAGCTTGCCCTGTCACGTGAGTTCGATCCCCAGCACTCACACAGAAGGCTGGGTATGGAGGCGGGCACTTAAAATTCTAGCACCAAGGAGGCAGAGACAGGCGGATCCGCAGAGCTCCTTAGCCAGCCAGTCTGACTGAACTGGTGAGCTCTGGGTTCAGAGAGAGACCTTGTCTCAAGGAATAAGGTGGAGAAGGATTAAGGAAGACACCTCTGGCCTTCACACCCATGGGCACACATGTATTCTACATGTACTACACACACACACACACAAATTAACATATTAAAAGTTAATAAAGGCAATACTAGTTGGGTTCAGTAGGTTATACATGTATACATATATATGTATATATACATATATGTACATATATGGAGCAATAATAGTTATAGAAGAAGGGATAGGAATTTGAGAGGGGGGTGGGGAAGACACCAGGAGTTGGGGGTGGGGAGAGAAAAGGGTGGAGATGATATAAATATAGTTTTCCCATGTATGAAATTCTACCAGCAAATTTAAAATTATGAGAAAAAAATAGCTATTGCGTTCCCATACCAGTTACATCAGAAAATTCCACTCTCACCAGTGACAAAACGGAGCTGTTCTTTGAAAGTTAAGATCTGTTTTTCCAACAGAAAAGCTGCGGAATGCGCTGGAGAGGCAGCTTGGTCGCCAGAGGACTCTCAGCATGCACAGAGCCCTGCGTTCCACTCCTCAGAACCACAAGAACCAGCATGGCGACACCCACATGTGACCCCAGCACCGGGGAGGTGGATGCAGGAGGGTCAGAGTTCAAGGTCATCCATGTCCACATAGCGAGTTCAAGGCTAATTTCGGATACATGAGACCTTCTCTTAAAAAGGGAAAGTACAAGGGGCCAGGAGAGATGGCTCAGTGGTTAAGCGCACTGGCTGCTCTTGCAGAAGACCTGGGTTCGATTCCCAGCACCCACAACAATCTGTAATTCCAGTTCCAGAGGCTCCAGTGCTTCCTTCTGACCTCCAAGGGCACCAGGCATGCATGTGGTGCCCATGCACACACAAAGGTTAAACACTTACACGTATGAAATAAATCAGTCTTAAAAACAAATACCAGCTTAACCCTCCTCCTCCATTGTCGTAGCAATGGAGATCTCGCTGGAAGGTGGCCCAGCACCGTCTGAAGTGACCTTTCAAAGAAAAGTGATTTCCTTCCGTTTCTCAATTTCTAATGCACGGGGGAAGGGGCGGAGTCAGACATCAGGAGCTGACAGCCAGAGAAGACACAGAAGGGTGACAGGAGACCTTACAT